TCTCCCGGCGTATTCGTCCTCGGCTGCTTTTAACAGGATTATAAAGAAGCAGAATGAAGATAGAAAAAACAATTTCGGACAAGGATAGAGGAGCCAGACTGATAGAGGAAGAGGGAAGAGAAAGAGAGAGGAGGATGTCCTAAATCCGACAACTTGCAGACTACAAGTCCCAAAGAGTTTGATTAAATTAGCTCGGAAAGTTTTTGTTTCAAAGTCAAGAGTGTCACCAAGGAGCCGAAGCCCAATTCCAACTCCTCCAAACACTGCAGTGTGCCAATTTACGGTCCTAACCTCGGGTCAGAGAGACAGGAGCGAAAAGAGAATAACACACACACACACACGACCAAACAAGTACAGGTCGTTTAAGGCATCCTTGCAAACACACACACCTACACACACTTGTGTCTCCACTTTGGTTTTATAAAAGCCAGTCCCCATGAGCAGCTAGGAGATTCAAGTGTCTTCTCTGCTCCTCTGAAAACGTTAATACGATCCTCTTTTTACACACACACACACACACACACACACACACACACACACACCCCCCCCCTCCTCCTCATTCCCTGAATGGATCAGTGGCATTACGATTTCTCTTTCCCTTCTAACCCCCACGTCTCTCCGGGTGACTTTGCCTCTCTGTTTCTGTCCTCACTTGTCTCCTTCCACTCTTACTTTCTTCTTTTTGTTCCTTTTCACTCTCTGTTGACTTCTGTCTTTGTGCACAAACTTCATCGGAACATATCAAGACCAATCTTCCTCTCCAACTCTCAGAACCTGAAGAGGATTTCAGCTTTGTGTGGCTAGGCTACAAGAAATAAGGACTGTGATTTGTTGAAGGATAATGAACAATTAAGTCAAATTAAAACAGGAAAGGATTCGCCCCCACGTTCTTTTGGTGTTATAATGAATTGTACTCTTATAGTTGTGTAATAAACTATCTTGTGTGAAACGAGGTCTGGATGCTCCACTGGCTAAAAAGTAGTCTAGCACACAAGCCCAAGTAAAACCAAAGCATGTCGTTTTGACTGCAAGGTCTACGTACAAATTAAAAATGGTGGTAATAATTTAGCTATATGAGTCGACAAAAAAGCAAAAAAACTAATGTTTCCCATTCCCTATTTGTTTTACCAAATATGGAAAAAAAGATTTTAGGCTTCAATTAAAGTATTGTGTTTAGATTGTTTTAAACTTTCTTGACTTTAAAGGTTTTGAAAAGTAAGGCAGTAAGAGTATGATTTATAAATGTCTTTTGTTGAGACAACTTCATATTTCCTATCAAGCAATATGTGCAAATGCCAAGAAGTTTATTACTGGTAGTCTGTTTTTCAAGACATTCTTATGCATAACAATCCCCCCCAAAAATGCTATAAAGTTCATTTCATGAAGGCTTTCCATTCTTTTTTAACAACTTGTAATTGTAAAGAAGGAAATATCAAAGTGAGATCAAATCTGTTCATTACTACTTAAAGTTAAACGACGACGTAAAGGTGGAACGCCAAGGTGATACATTTCTGCAAGTTCATTTAATTAGGGCAAGATAAAAACAAGCGTAGCGGTATTAAAGCAGGATTTTAGCTGTGAACATAACCTGAGAGATTAATCATATTTAATTATAAAGCAGCCTAAGTGAGCCATCTCTCTACAGCTCCAGGTGGCAAAGAAGTCATGGCCTTGTCAAGTTGAATTCCCCTGTAGAGAGTTTGTTGGCGGTTTCCACAAAATGTCTTCTCACTAATTAAACTTTGCCAACATGCTTAATGCACTAGACCCCGTCTCCAATGGTTACCGCTGTCCACACACACACACACATGCCTGGAAAATCCCTCAAACACACACACTGACACACACACAAACACACAGTTTGTTTTCCTAATCCTCTTGCAGGTTTAAGATGGATGCCGCAGCATTATGCTAATGAGCAACTCTGCTGTCCAATGACATGCTTCACTGGCTGAAAGACAGGGAGTATGCAGATGGGGAAAAAGGAAAGTAAGAGCAAGAGAGAAGCATGATTGGAAAGGGTGGGAGAGGAAACGTTCTGTTAAGAAAAGTATGAACCCTAACCCTTACCCTAAGCCTAAGTAGGATAATAATTGTGACGTATGATATCACAATTTTGTAAAAAAAAGACAAACATTAGGTAATCTAATCCAAATCTTTGCCAGTTTTTTCCATTGGGCAGTTCCAAATAAGCACTACATTGAATCAAATGTGCTTTAGAGGCATGCATTATTGTTTGATTCATTGTGTATGACCTCTATAGTCTTGCCACATGTGTTGCTTCTGTTCCCATAATGCATAGGTCAGGGAAGAGATTTTCTGGGTCGATCTATCCAAATTCCTAAGATTAAATGTTTCAGAATCAGAATACCTTTATTAGCCCCACAGAGGGGAAATTTGCAGCGTTACAGCAGGAAAGAGCCAGACAGCTTAGTGTTGCATATCTTAAATGCGTTAAAAAAAGTACTAAGTTATAATATAATAAACAAACAACACAACAATATGCTAAACAAGTACTAAGTTATAATATAATAAACAATAAACAATATGCAAAAACAAATCAAATCTACAAATCAAATCCTGTAGCAGTTCTTAGGATTTAGCAGCCCGGTATATATTACANAATGAACTAACTGTTGTCTATTTGATGTATTCGATGATTGAGATTTACTTGACCATATAAAGAATCTCAAGAGACTTTGGTGTAAGTATATATAAAACCGGTCATACTTAAACCTGGACATTCAAACACACAGGACTTCGAAAAGAGTCTGAAAGAAAGAAAAAGGTCGGCGAGGTCCAAACGGACATGGACCTTTTTGTCTAGTAACAAACCAAAATCCGTATTGTCGAAACATTCGTGACGCGGTCGGTCGTCCCCCCGTCAAATCTATCTCCACCTTAGACCCGAGGTCTTGTTTCGGTATATAGTTTTTTTATGACCTAATCACCATGTTAAATTAACACTGACATCTTGTTAAAGGCAAAGGGAAAGCCTGGAAGATTGGTAGAACCTACGCAAAACTGCGGAATTACCCTTTAAAAGTGAAGGCGTTGGCTAGTTATGAAAAAAAAGTGCTTTATATGTTTTTTCTTCAGACCAGCTTGGAGACTCTTTAGCCTAATTTCTAAGGTTACAACACTCAAAGGCCACCTTTAACAAGGCTAAACATACTTTAGAAAAATGAAAAAGTGCTCCCTGGTTTGACAGAAGAACATTGAGCATTGACCCTATATCATGGTAGACACACAAGACCACTGAAGCACATTGGAGGGTAAGAGCATTAAACTATCAGTGAAGTTTGGAAAGAGTATTTTTAGGGAGTAGATTACAACTATGCCTAGCTCAAATCTCGTGATAATGTGACATAACACATCATACTCAGATGCTGCAATACAATACTGAGATCTTATATCATCCCATGCTTAATCAGAACAGTGCCAGATCTGAGTCATCCTTCCCACTGAGCCAGCTTTTTTTCATTTCCATTCCAATTCTCTGTCAATCTGTGTCCCTTCCTCCTTTATAACAGATCAGGGAGGTGGCTGTAGACCGAATCCAGAAGCGTCTGGCTGGCCTCTTGACTCTTGACCCCCGCAATCTCAAACAGCTGGTCCAGCTTGTCCTCGGCGGCTGGGATCTCCTCGATGATGTGCAGCCCTTCTGGGTTCAGGATGTGCAGCATGTTGTCGAAGATGGGTTGCATGTCTCAGGGGTCGAGAAGCACCTGCTGCAGAACTTTGTCTTTCTTCTCTGGAGGCGAATTGGAGAAGGGAAGCAATTACTATACAGCTTCTCCAATCAATATTTATATATTAACAACAGATATGTGAAAGGGGGTTGCTTGTGGCATGGAACCGCAGACTGTATGAAGATGGACGACATGACAGCTCCTAGTAAACCCGCAGCATCTAAATCACTCCGACTGGCGGCCTTATTATAAACGTCCATTTTAGCAGATGGGGCATGGGCACAATAAAAACGTCAAAGTACACATTGAATAGATTTTTCTCATGGTTGTCATTTGAGGTAGTTCTTATCACGCAGATTTTTGTTTAAGCCTGAAAAATATGTGCAAAATACCGACCAAGTGCTCTGTGTGAGGGAATATAACGGGAGGAGCAGCAAACGCTCACACACTCCTTCCCATACACTGGACAAATGGAGCTCCTTCCTATAACACAGGTTGATGCTCTGCAGGGCGCCACCTGCTGGAAGAACCGCAGCATGACTAGAGGTGACGAGAGGGATAAAAGTATAAGTGGTGTGGTGGTATAAAAATGCATTTCAGATCCTCTTCTCTAGCGTCTCACTTAAAATTATGAATAAGAAATCCTATTGCTTGAAAAAGTCAAATTCTAGGAAAATTCACAATTCCAAAAAAAAAAAGAAGAAACCTGGAAACCCATACAGATACAATCTCAAATTTTAGAAGCAAAACAGAAAGAATAGCACGACAGTTAAAAGGAGAAATGTAAAAGAAAAAATGTTTTTATTTGTTTTTCGGTGATTGTCCCTTAAACTCAACATTTCTGAAAAAGGCAAGATTCTGAAGAAGAGAAGAGAAAAAAAGTCAAAAACCTGAGAAAATCAATACAATTCTGAGAAAAGTCAACATTTCTGAAGAAATTCAACTTTGCTTGAATAAGCCAAAATCCGGAAGAAATTCAAATTTTCCTCGAAAAAGTGAAAATCCTGAGAAAATCCGGAAAAAGGCAACTTCCCTTAAAAAAATTCTGAAAAAAAAAATTCTGAAAAATTCAAAATGTCTAGAAAAAAGTCAAAATTCTGAAGAAATTCAATCTTCCTTGAAAAAGTAAAAATTCTATCAAAAGTCAAAAGCTGTGAAAAGACAAAATTCTGAAAAAGTAAAAATTCAGTGACAATTTAAATTGAAGTGAAAATATTGGAAGAAAGCTGGACACCTAAACAGATAACATCTCTCAAAACATTAGAAGCAAAACAGAAAGAATAGCACTACAGTAGAAAGGAAAAATGTAAAAGGAAAAATATGTTTATTTGTTTTTGGGAGCACAAACAAAATATTTTCTTTTCAACACACATCTCTAATGATTTCTATCATACAAATACACCTTTTGACATGCGGTATGTTTCGTGAAATTGAAATACAAGTTTGATAAACGTTTTCCGGCACAGCTCAAAAAACACATTTGCTTTCACAAATAACACAAGATTCTCACACAAAATTACAATCCCAGTTACCCTTTGTTTTTAAGTATCATTCAATTCGACTCCAAGAGTTTTTTAAACCAAGACGATCAAAATATCAAACAACTGTAATCCTTTTACTTTCGGTAAAATGGAAGGAAGCTCTTAGAGAACAAACATTAGACAATCAGTACATGTAGATAACTCTAGGACAAACGTATGGTCTCCAACTTAATACATTTTCCTAAGAAATGTAATTGATCTTTTAATTAAACATGCACACCATCCCTCCACTGGCCCTTTTTAGGACGTTGTTTTCGACAAATAAAAGAAATTATAATGAGAAACTCTTTAGAAATTACTTAAATACCAAACCAAGTGATTTACATAGTTTGCATATAACGAACTGCCAGAACGATCACCATCCCACCTTTTAAATAGTTTCAGCAGTTTAAAGGGTGTAGAATAAAGGCTTGAACACAATGCATGACAGTGGTGATATTCACAGCAGATAAACAGGCTTTGGGGTGTGGTGACACCAGAAGTCAGAGCCTCATCCTCTGCAAACATCTTGTGTTTACGCCTGAAGAAAAACAACTTAAACCCCGAGCGGTTCAACGTGCCTCGTATTCTTCTGCAGAGCATAATCCTGCTGCCTTGTTTGCTTTATATAAAAGACAATGATTGCTTATGCTAATGTGAAAAGGCTCAGGTGGCTCAGAGAGGAAGTCCATCAGTAAAGCTTGAAGACATTTTAACTGCCACTCCATTTAACTCTGATGGAAGAAATGATGAAAGTTAAACATTGGCACTTTGACTTTAATTAAAGCTGTCAAAGCAGGAAAGACAGAACGAAGCAAATATATTGGTAGGATTAGTTAGGGTTAGTAGTTTTAGGTATCACACAACTTCTGACATCACTGGTGTAACATCCTGTATCAATTTGTCTTTTTCTTGCTGAATCACTTTTTCTATGACAGAGTTTCTTTTGTAACATAAGACAACATACCATTTAAGATTGACAAAGAAAATAAAAAATGTTTTGCATAGTTTGTACCCTACCTCAGAAATAAAAAGGGGTTCTCTAATGTTGTAAAGGTAGGGTCAAGTATATAAATATATTATGTAGATATTTGTTTTAGAAAAGCAGAACTTTTTATCCCTTTTCAGTCATAAGTCACTATAGTTGTCGTTTTTGCACACATCTCTTGGAAACAGGGGTTTATAAAGTTGTGCTTTTTCATAATTCTGATTCAACAAATTGATTGGTCGACAAAGTTACGAGTGCAAGTTGACCAATAATTTCTTTATGATAACTCTTATATACCTTCTGATATAAATGGATCTATCATTTTACTTCATTTCTCGCTACTTCACTTTTTGAATCCTTTTGCCCTCAGTTCAGTGGATCTTTCTCCCCGAGTTGTTTTTGCTTCTGTTCTCCTCCATCGCTTTCTCCAGCCAGTCCGATTCGCTCTCAGAGTCGCTGGCGTCGCTCCCGTTAGCCGCCAGCAGTCTGGAGTAATTAATCCTGCACTGTTGAGGGGCTTTAAATTGCAGCAGAGGCAGACACACACACCACAACATCACACACATCGCCGTCCCTCTGAACAGCCACGTCAACCCGAACCTCTGCACCACAAAGCCCCCGGAAAAACTCCCCAAACTACTCCCCAAATTTAGCGAAAGAGAGCTGAAGATCCTCCTTACACTCCTCTCCGATCCCGGTGTAGCCACCTCCTCACACTGTATCTTCACGGCCCACCAGAGGGCGCCAGAGCTCAAACAACTCAACATCTGGGCGGGAATCACAGCCCACGGCCCCCACAGGAAGGAGAAGTAGAAGCACTGCACACCGAGGCTTGCTGCCCCGACGACGAGCACCTTTCCTGGGGTGAGCAGCTTCGAAATCCGCCCTTTGAGTAAAGGATAGGCAGCCTGTGAAACTAAAGCGAGGGCTAACGAGACCCCCATGTGCATCTCGCTGCTCCCGTGGTCCTGCATCTGCCACAAGAGGAAATTATCCACAACGGATCCAGCGCACGCCACTAAAAAGGTGGTGGCGACGCAAAGCAAAGCGTGGGGGGAGTTGTGGACCAGCTGCAACGCTTTTAGGAGACCGAAACCCCGATCCCGCTTCTTATTCAGGTGCAGAGGCAGGTAGGCGGCGACAGGAAGCGCCACAAATCCGATGACAGCGTAGAGGAAGAAGTGCGCGGCCATCCGAGGGAAATCCCCCGCTATGAGGCAGGGCAATCGGCTGACGAGAAGTCCGGTTCCTCCGACGGCAAACGCCGCTCCGAGGATCTTCCAAATAGAGGTGATTCTGTATCGATCCGAAGCATCGGCGAAGTCGAGATACTCGTACAGTCCGTCGTCCGCCGTCCATTCGAGAGGCGACGCCATTAACTCCCACAGCGACACGGTGATGAGGATGAGGAAGAAGAGCTGGTGCTGAGCGTCCATCACCTTCAGGCTGCCCAGAAACTCAAACCGTCTCTGGTGGTTCTCCTCCTCCTCCTCCTGCATCTTGACTTCTGACCTTTTATTCCTAGTTCTGGATTCAGAGGAAAGGGCAACACCGCTCTTAATCGCACCACCACCACGTGTCTGACTTTTGTTTGTGATGTCGTCTGAAAGCGGAGGTTTATCCAGATGATGAAGCGCCGTTTCGTTCGTCAGAACCGGAGCAGGTTTAACATCAGCGAGTCTTTTTGCAGGAACACTTGCAGACTGAGGAACCGTAGCATTGTTAGCTTTAGTTTCGGATACAGACGAAAGTGCAACACTGGTCTTAATCACACCACCACCACTTGTCTGACTTTTGTTCGCATTGTCTTTTGGAAGCGGAGGTTTATCCAGAAGTGCTGTTTCGTTCGTCAGAACCGGAGCAGGTTGAGCATCAGCGAGTGTCTTTGCAGGAGTTTGAGAATCCGTAGTTCTTGGTAACGTGTGAGGTGCAGCGCTGCTCTTAATCCCACCACCACCACCTGTCGGACTTTGCGTCGGACCACCGCTCAGATCGCTCGTGAAATGACAGTTTTCGTGCACTTCCACAGGCGGGAAGAACAGTGGAAGAAGAGCGACGGACGCCGAACAAACCAGAGATCCAACGATCACCGCCCTCCTCTGGTTGTAGTGTTTGGACAGCAGGCTGGAGGCGGGGCTCCACAGCAGAGCGATGAGGTGTTTGGTGCCCATGATGATGCCCGTCATGGAGGGAGAAAGACCCTGCTGACGGAGGAAGAGCGTGAGGAAGGGCAGCAGCGAGGCCCGGGAGCAGGAGGACAGGAAGTGGAAGGCGCCGGCCAGAGCGAGGGTGCGCTGGATGTTGATCTGCTTGTTCCTCTTCATGGTGGAACGATGGTGGTCTCACAGGGAGTGGGTTTCAACTGGGAGACAAACAGAGGGAGAGAGAGATAATACATTAGAGGTCACCTATTATGCAAAATCCACTTCTCCATGTCTCTTCTACATCAACATGTGTCCCCTCTTCTCCATGTCTCTTCTACATCAACATGTGTCCCCTCTTCTACACCAACATGTGTCCCCTCTTCTTCATGTCTCTTTTACATCAACATGTGTCCCCTCTTCTACATCAACATGTGTCCCCTCTTCT